TGCCATGGTATTCATTTCTCAATTATTTGACCATTAATTTCCAGCTATGGGGTCTATTTCTTCCATATCTTGCAATTTATTTTCTTTTTATGTATATAGTAAACTTTAATTTTTACTTTTCCGCATTAAATATATTTTTTATAATTATTTCAAATTTTATGAATGAAAATGAACGTTGATACTATAAGGTTTAAATTGAAATTGTTGCAATTGTTGCAAGAACTCAATTAAATCACATTTTGTAGGAAGTCTCAAAATTATAATTGAAGTTGAAAGAAATCACGAATCAAAGTTTCAATAGAATTTTGTAGAGATTTGTAAAGATTATACCCCTTATTAATTGGTAAGTTAAGAGACTGTGAATCACAACCGAATTAGCGTTTGAATTCCTACTCTTACCGTCAATAATTATATAAGAAATAGCGCTATTATCTCTTAATTCTGAGTAATATTTAATCGCTCAAATTGATTTCACTAAAAAATGAAGTTCTTGAAATTAGAATTTTAGCAAATATTCCGAATTTCTTAAGTGAACCATAGAATCTATGTTGTCATAGAAAATTACCAAGTTAAAAAGTTCAAGTTTTAAGTTTTCATTGTAGCAATTATTCTTGCCCACTCTATTATACATATGAATAAATAAAACTGAATTTAACAGGGTGTAGCAAAATTTTTGAAAATTAATAATTCAATTGCAAAATAATAGTACTTTTGATAGTAATGCATATGTAAAATTCTAGTTTTAATGTTATGAATTAAACCGCATCAATTTGTCTTTACAAACTTAAAGTAAATTTAAGTATCAGAGAAATTGTTATGATAAAAATTTTTGTTTTTACAGTAGCTCAAAGCTATTTTGATTTTATATAATCATTCTGTTTTGTTTCACAAAGAACATAGAGCAATCGTGACTGTAGACGATTTTCGGAACCCATTTTATTATTTTTTATTTGTAAATTTCAAGTTTAACGCAAATATTGAAAAATTACTTTATATGTATATAGAAAAATTTTTCAGTTTTTAAAAAAAAATATTTATTTAAGGAAGAAAATTAAAATAAAAATATTGCCTGCAGTATTTTAATTTAAACAGCAATGAATCTTTAAATAAAAAAAAAATAAATTGAGAATGTAAAAAAACTCACAAAAAAAAATTGAATATAAACTGCTCTGGTTTTATCAACAAATTTATATTTTGAACTCTTTATGTAAGTCTAAATAAAGTTCATATTATTACAAAAGAAAAAAACCAAGTGAGTTACAGAAAAAAAAAATAAATTATAGTAATGTAAATAAAATTGCAAACTAACATGCAGAAATCAGCAGGACAAATATAGTAAAAAAAAAAATATAAACAGAATTAAAAATGAAAATATATTTTTTTTTTTGAAAGATGTCTTGAAGGTCCTTTTTTTTATTTGCCCTGTTCAGTTCATTGGCTGTACATAATTTTTTTATTTTTACATTTTTTTTCTAAAATTTTGACCTTTTTCTATTTTTTATTTGTAACAATATTATGTTACTCTAGGAGGTGAATTTTTAAAATTAATTTAGATATATATAGCTACATAAAGAAAAAATACAAGTAGAAAATTAAAAAATTAAAATATACAGCTAAATATATTTTAGTTGCGGGCCGCTTACCAAATACATTGATTATTTTACATAGGGAACTGTTTTTAAGAGTAATTTCAGAAAAAAATAAATTCTAGTATAACAATATTGCTTTCCTATAGTAGCTTATTAATTTCTATATTAATAATGAGTTTTTATTTAAATGACTATCAACGGTAAAATACCAATTCCCAAAAAAGTTCTAAGTAATTTACGTGATTTTATAGCAAAAATCATTATATATTAAATTCAAAATCTTCCAGATCACATTACGAAAATTTTAATAATAAAATTGAAAATTTTAAATCCACTGCTGAGAAACTAATTTCTAAAGTTTATTAGTTTCTCATCAAAATTTTTATCGTTCTTTTGCGGAACTTGTCTAATTTTATGTCATATACTGTAAAAAAATTCAAAAGAAATCCAAGAGATTTAACCTCTTTTATTTCTTTGCTTTTTCATTTAAGCCCAATCATGTTATGCATCTTTCGAATGTTGATAGATATCGATCGGCCCTGGTTCTGAGTTGTTCGGCGACCTAAGCGGTTTCCAAAAAGTGCAACCTTACGCTTTAGAAGCCATGAACAGTATGCAATAAAGATTACACATTGCGCATAATAATTGTGCCCCTGTTATCCGGCGTTCATTGCACATTTTGCATATACTTACTTTGCATATATGATAGATACGGCGATGGACATCCTGTGTAATCTATATTATTAAATTAATAGATCTTTATTGTAAAATACATTAACTCTAAAATTGAATCTAACATTTTCACTAAAAAATTTACCCTGAATATTTCTCCTAATTTAATGAAAAATAATTTGGTAGATAAACGGAATATAGATAAAAAAATATATTATACGTAGAATGGTACATCATATAGCGAAACTAAGCATAAAATTAGAAACAGAACTCTTAGCGACATACTCGTAATATTAAAAAATGATTTTTTGCATTTTGTTGTGCGACCGTATTTTATTAATCTTTGCACCACTGTTGGCTACTACAATAAACTTTAACTAGATAAATCTTTTATATTTATTCTATATTCTTCATAATATTCATTTAACTTTAATTTAACTAAAAAATGCGAATTGAAAAAAGAATATATTGGAAAAGGATCGAATAAAGAAAAAATTGGAAATCTATAATAAAATCGATGTATCCTACAAACTATTTAAATGAATGTTGTATTTTATATGAAAAAAGAAGAAAAAAAATGGAAAGGTCGTGAGGTCTCTGAATCAATTTAGCTTCCGGCCTTGCACGATTGTTGTTATTTCAATTAGACTTTTAAATAAAACAATAATGATAAAATAAATGGAGAAGTTGGAACATTTCCTTCTCTCTATTTTCTCCTAATTTTTATAAACAAGTGTTCTATTAAATTTATAGTTTTTTAGGAGGCACATTTTTCCTTTCAATTGACATTTTTGAAATTTTTTAAATAAAATATTGAAAATTTTAAAGATTTGATAAAATAGAAAATCGAATAGTATGTTTTATTAAAAATTCGAATTAAATATTTTGCAGTTTTTAATACAAGCAAATAAAATTTAAGGATTCGGAATTCGATTTTCTTAGTAGTTGCTGGAATTTGTATGAAATTTATATGTTCTTGCTTTACAAATTTTTGATTAGCAGCAATTACATTGTGCGCAATTAATTATTGTTAGCTATAAAAATTATTGTTTAATCGTACAGACGCTTGCAAGAACCGTTCTAAATATTTTTAATAATAGTTCAAGAAATTCCCAGACAAGTTTGTTTTGCTTCTTAATAAATTTCCATCAAACCAAATATGTACTTGTTTCTGGTTTCCCGTTCTCGAGGATTTCTCTACAAATATATTAAGGGACAAAAATTTTGAAATTTCTTTACACTTTTGAAATTTTCTTATAGAAAATGACTTTTTTTACCTTTTGAAAATTAAAATTAGTAACAATTTTATAAAAAAAAATAAGAAATAATGTTGAAAACCAATGGTTTGTATTGTAGCACTTTTCCTTTCAACAAGTGAAAATACTGCTTTTATATACAGTCTATGCATATCTACCACACTATTAAAATTATTTTCATTCATAAACGAAACTATATCTAGGATTGCATATATTTAGGATGACGCATATATGCAGTCTTTGAAATAAAGCAAAAATTAATATAAAAAGGGGTTAACATAATGCTCGATTTTAAAGGTTAATTGTGTGAGTTAAGAAAAATAATTATATTTTTTAATGTCATGAAATTTACCGTTAGCTTTTTGCGCTTATAGAAATTTTAAAAATCTTGCGGTTTCGGAAATATAAGGTGTCAAAAATTCAAATTTTACAAATTTCAAGAGGCGATAACTTGAGAGGGGGTGGACATGGAAAAAAATGTTCTTTTAACAAAATGAAGCATTTATTAGTGTCTAAAAGCCCCTAACATTTCAACCTTCTACCGGCTGAGCGGACTTTAGATAACGGTAAATTTGAACGCCCATTTTGTTTTTCTAAAGTTTAACATTGGTATACCGCGTTAGGGGAAGCAAGCCACTGCCTTTCTGCGTTTGCAAAATTCAAAAATGCGTATGGTTTCACTGCACTAAATAGTTAAAAAATGGCATTTTTAGAGTTTTGGGGGGGTATAACTTCTAGAGGGGGGGAGATAGGTAAAAACGGACGGACCAACGGACAGAGTGAAACTAATAAGCACATTTTTTTTTAAATTTTATAGGTATACAAGTACTTATAAAAAAAATTCGGTTATTGCGAGTTAAAATAGACTGTGAATTTCCACTCATAAGCATCATCATAATTTTTTAATTTAAATTAGAATTATCCAATTATGGTGATTTTTCTGTTTTTCGCTTTTATTTCCAAATCTAGACGAATGTGTCTGAAATAAATCTATAAGTAATATATATCTACATACAAACATTAAGATTTGTTGATTGAGTCCACTATTTTTAAAATCTATATTGTCGGAATTTGGTTTTATTGCCATTAATTACGATTTTATACTAAAAATGCGGTTTAGCAAATGTTTAATTTATAAGCAATTTTTCTTATCATCAAATAATTTCCTAAATTTCAAGTAAGTCAAGTAAGGGAATTTCACAATGCTCATAGAAATGGACATAGGTAACTTAATGCTATTACTTTCACTGTAATTTGAGTATTCTAAATATTTATTGAAAAATAGAAATACAAATCGGAAATATTGTGATAATATAAATAAAAAAAAAAATAGTTAAAACTCGACTTAACCCCAAAACATTCAACTATGATTTTCATTTTTCATATTTTATCATTAATTTTCATTTATTTATTTTTTTATTAAGTGCCTTCAATTCCTTCAATTATTGTATTTAACTCAAAAATATTTTTTTTTTATAGACTGGGCGGACCATTACAACCTGGTGTTGGAGGTGTTGGAGTTGGTGTTGGTGGTGGAGGCCAACAACAAATAACACAAAGTATGTCAACAGGAAATAACACAGTTGGTGGCCAACATTGTCAACAATTGAGTGGTTCATCACCATTAGTAATGCCTGGTTTTCCACTTAGAACATCACATTCAGCTCACACACCACATTATTCACCTTATTCACCCTCCAGGTAAGTTAAAAGAGAATAATATAATTTATTTTATATAAACAATTGTATACGGAATACATACGTTGTGTATACAAGTGAGCCTAAGTATGTGTTATGTGTACATTTATTTATTTTATTTAAAATTAAATAATACAAAGAAGAAAAAGGAAAAGAGAGAAAAACTAATTTTGTTTACAAGTTATTTGTTGCTTAGTCATGACAATCAAACAAAAAACAAAAAAACAAGAAGACAAGAAAATTTTTTTTTTTAATAAAATTAAGTTTTCTTATTCCTTGGAATAAGGTACACAACTTTCTGTACACAAAGTTAACATAACCATTTATATTTTGTTGTTATTATGTATCTATACGTACTGCTATGCATATGTAGACTGTTTTCGAGACATTACCTTTTCGTTGCTTTGATAATGTATTGATATAATAACAATGACATTGAATTACATTGTACAAGGAAAATAAAAATGAAAAATTAATGGGCATATGTCGGACTCAAAATAAATTAAAAAAAAAAAAAAAAGAAGAAGAAAGAAACACTCAATAAATAGAAACATACTTTTTAATAAAATTAATTTAAAATCGACAGTATTTTTGAGGGTATGTATATATAGAGAAGATAGACTATTTAGATTGAGGGATAAACACTTAAGAAGAAATTTTTAATAAAGGTTGTCTTTGCATATTAAATATAAAGATTTTTATTAGAAATTGGTGTATGCGTAAATTTCGTGTGTTATTTTAGACGTCTATACGGTACAAGAGCAATTACGACATTTCTTGGTAAATTTTATTAAATATTAATGGGAGTTATTGACATAATAATATAATTTTGATATAGTAAAGGTATGAGCTTGGTATTAATTCAAATTTCTCGAATTTTATAATAATGAACGTCTTATACCATCTAATCTCTCATATGTACTTCAGAATTTTTGAAATTGAATTAGAATATTTTTCAATATTTTTAATTTATGTAAGTAGGTACTTATGTTATATGAAATAGAATATAAAATAGAATAAGGGAATTAAAATTAAAATCAAATTGTTCCGGTGATTTTTTGCCCTTAATTTTAAAGCACTCTGCTAATCTTTTTTTTTTTATAATTTGACAAAGTAGTCAATGTCTTCGACGTTAAATTTAATGCTCGTAATAAGCCGCATAGTGATAATAACTACCTAAGTTCGAATTTTCGAGCGAAAAAAAAATAAATTAAGTTTAAAAATTTAAAAAAACTTTTAAAAAAAGTCCAGTATTCACAAAATTTTCAAACCTAAACCAAAATTTGAGATACCTCACGTTTTTATAATTCTTTTCAGCGCTTTTCTAACCAAAGAGGAAAACAATTTCTTATTGATTTCACTTTTTCCATCTTGAGATAGAAAACTGAAAATTTGTACATCAATTGTTCTTTTCGAGAAATCTATTTTTCTAGAGGAAAATTCTTACCTTCCATTAGAAAGTATGACTCGTTAAAGTCTTAAAATATCTTCTTCTTCTTCTTGTAGCTTTAAAACTCGGGTTGGGTTTTAGCTTTCTGCACAATTGACCTCCATTGTTTTCGATTCTGGACACGTTGTTTCCAATTAGTTACTTGCATTTTCAGTGTTATACCCTGGACGTTGTCTTCCCATCTTAATCTCGGTTTACCTCTTCCTTTAGCTACAAGCGGTCTGTTGAGGAATATTTGATTTTGGGCTCTGTTTTCGTGAATTCTTACAACATGCCAACCCAACTGAGCATTTGAGACTGAACGTATTTCACTTCATCTTTCTGACTCAGATTGTAGTCTGAAAATTATTGTTATTATTGTTATTATATTAATTTACTAAAACATTAAAATTACAAAATGGCCACTAAAATTAATCAATATCTAAAATCCGTTTTTTTTTTTAATTTTTTCTATTAAATGGTATATATGTATGTAAGTTGTAGAATCCTGAAATATTCACAGTTTCTATAAGATTGAGAAATAATTTATTTTGTTAAATTTTTTGATATTAGATTGAAAATAGTAAATAATGTCCTTAATACGAATTTTAATTAAATTGATTAACAGTATGGAAAAAAAACACCTTAAATTTATTAATAAAATTTTCCCGGGTATAAAAATTATTTCAACTTTTTTATTACACATAATATTAAAAATTTATAATTGAATTATCATGAAAAAAAATCAATCATAGTAATTATTATAATAAAATCAATCAAAGATAATTACTTTTTACGTTCTAATTATTGAACATATTCAATTAAAAAAAGTGTCGCGTCAGTTTCTATTTAATGCGTGTATACAAACATATATACTCTTATATAAGTATTTACAGACATTTTCATTTTGTTTACCAAGCATAAAAAATTGTAGTAAAAGAGTGGAATAGGTATGATTTCAATAAAAAAATTAAAACTAATAATCGTTATAATCAGAATACACATACGAGCTAACAAACTTATTACAATTATACATAAACAATATTTTAATAAGTAAAATCAACGTCCCTTCTCTTTATGCACGTGCATTGCACACATGGGATATCTGAACATACATTAAAAATAATGTTGAGTTTATTTAAATCCAAACACATCACAATCCAATTATACGTACAATGTAAGTAAATAGATATATACACATATAATATATATAAATATTATGTACATAAACATTTTAATGCATAGATGGGTAGTGAAAAGAATTTTTTTATTTATCATCGCAATTATTTGATTAATTGAAGTTATTGGGTATTAAAAAGAAAAATGTCATAAACCCTATATTATACACATATATATGTATATAAATAATATTATAATATATTTACGTGTTTTCCTAGAAAAATAGGTACAGCCTGCTCTTTTACTTCTATATAATTTTTAAACAGATTTCGTGATCTTCTTATACAGCCACAATGTCAGAATATCGTTGATTTTTACTAAACTGGAACAGAAACTTTTGTATGCCAACATACTTGTCAACTGTGTCTGGTATGATTCACTTTATTCCTTATACTATTAAATAATGCATGAGAAAACCCCAATCGATTGCTTAATTCAGAAATGACTTTGATGAAAATTCAAAAAGTAATGACAAAAAATTACTTTTCCTAAAAAATCTAAAACCCAATTAATTTTCGAAATTTTAACCCTTACAGTTTCAAACCTATTACAATGAACATTGGCATAGTGTTAAAATACTTATTAAAGACACCTTATACGTTCCATACGCTCATTTTATTTTCAAACAAACGTTCTTTTATGCATAATTAATAATAAAAAAAACTTGGAAAAATTATGATGTCTAATAATTATTTATGTTAAAAAAAACAAGTAAATGGAAAATACACACCCAAATATCCAATTAACTCAATAACGTAACAATTTTCTTTATACTATATCATGATTTATAACATTTTTATTAAACTATATAGGTACATAAATAGTTATAAAACTATAAAAAAAAAACATGTAAAACAAAATAAAAATAAAAAATATTAATGAAAGGAGAAAGTAATTTAAAGAAGAAGGCGAATTATGTAACGCACCATTGTGTAAGTAAAGCATTCAACTCAATTTAATAACTCACACCTAATAATTTTTAACAAGTTCTCTTTAAACGCAAAGCTGTGTATTACATATAATGCATACCGCATAAGAATTTATTTAGAATAGGGCTAATCGAGCGCTTTAGAGATTGAGTTGATGTTGAATAGAATTATGTATGTATTTAGTAAAAAATTTGAAGGATCGATACCTTTACGAAGGTAAAAATAATGTGTTAAAAATAAGCTTAAAAGACATACGAGTACATATTATAAAATTTAGTTTATCTTAGTCTTCGACTAAGCAAGGAACGACAACTAAACTCAAAATATTTTAATTCAAATAAGATGAACCGAAAACTAAAGCTTAAGCGGGCAACTGTTATTTTTCCATTAACAGTGGAATGGGACTTTGCGAAATGTTTCTATTAGCTATCCAAAATTGGTGGACTTTCATTTGTTACAAATAAAAATTTTAATTATATGAAAATTTAAAAGAATTTATCAACCTTTGTTTCCTCTGCCTGTCGTCTGTCTGTTGGTTTATTCGAAATCGACTACTCGGTATGAAAATCTTGTATATTTTTTACAAAATAGACTTCCCATACTCAATTTCTTTCAATGAGCAATGACAGCATTTGACATTACTTTAAATTACGTTATTGAGAGAAATTCTTTTCTACACTTTCAAAAAACGCAAATCTCATACTCTTTTTAAAAAATTTTCATATCAAATTTTGTCTATTGTTGTCAATATAAGGATTGACCTTCACGCTTAAGATTAAATTACTATGATCTTATAAAATTGGTTTTTTTTTCTCTTATTATTTTAGTTAATTTATTTTAACACCTTCACAGTGTTGTAATGCTTTTCTCGTTTTGGATGCTATTTACAAAAGACATTATATTGTCTTGTAACATTTAAGAGAACAAAAACACAATTTTGTTTTTCTATTTTTTATTTATTTTTTGACAAAATAAAACCACCTACACAGTCTTAGTTACAAGTAACATGAAAATAATTATAATGCTTATAATTCACTGTTACCAAATACAAACGAACTTCATCAGATATTTATCTATACAATACATATGTATGTATATATGTATATATAAATTTGTGTGTAATTCATAAGCAATGAAAGAATTATAATAATAATTGTTGATAATATTTTAAGAATCTGATTAAAAATTTTTTTGCTAATCATTCTTGAAATTTTTCGAAAATGAGAAAAATAAATAAAACGTGAGAAACCTTGTGAACCACAAAACAATCACAATCTAGCGCCATTTAATCAGAAGATTTGTTTATCATGTTTATTTAATATAATTGGTATAACATTTTAAATTCGAGTTAAAGAAATCAGTGTGTTTGTGAATTAATCTTAAATAATCGAAATGCATTAAATTTATTTTAGTTTTCTATTCATAGAGCAATAAAATTAATGATTATTACTGCGACTCTCTTAAAT